CGGGCTCTGCCTAGCTCGGCAGCGACCGCTCGGGCCCTGCTTGTGCGCTCTATCGGGCCCTCGCTAAGTTTAGGGTTTGGGGTTTAGGGTTTGGGGTTTAGGGTTTAGGGTTTAGGGTGTATGCAGTGTAAGGATGCATAGGGTATATAGGGATGTACAGGATATAGGGTTGCTTGGAGAGTCAAGCGGAGACTGGCGGAGACTGGGGCAGTACAGGAATTATAGGCGTTGAAGGTTCAAGCTGTTACTTGCAGTTATTTGTTTCAAAGACTGCAATTTATTAAGCCATCCAGAACTTAGGGTTTGATGAGACTCTATCATTGTTTGCAACAACCGGTTTGCTTCGTACGTTCCCAGTGCAGTGGTTGGTCTGAGGCTCAGGTTTTAGGCTGCAGGGTTTGGAGCATTATGTCTTTAGGGTTTAGGGTTTCATGTTGCCGCAGCGGAGCAAAATAGCTTAGCGGCTCTAAAGCTTGTATTCCCAAAGCCTACCTACAGTGATGTCTCATGACTTTACATCCTAAACCCCAAACGCTAAACAACCTCCCTCTTGAAAAGGCCGATCGCAGCGGCCATGGCCAGATTGATTATGATGAGTCAGGGCCTTGGAGCAAGAGGCTTTAGGGCTTAGGTTTTAGGGTTTAGGGAGCAAGAGGCTTCAGTATCTCAAGAGTTTGGGGGCGCAGGGTTTAGAGTGGTACGTGGAGACTGCTACTAATTTCCTTGGTTGTTTACTAGGGGAGTTCTTGATACGTACATGCCTTCAAAGTTCCATCCAGCTAGTGTTTCAGGGCTTGGGACCTAGGGGCAGTTGGGCTTGTTAGGGTCTAGTTTGGAGCTTCAGTTGGTTTCTGGTTTAGGGGCTACATGAAGGAGTATACATATAGGGGAAATATAAAAAGAATGGAAAAGAACATGCAAACTAATGTGCCATGTAGGGCTGGAGTCGTAGTCGTGAAGGATGGTTTTCGGAAAATGTAGGACATCTAACGCTAAACTCTGGACCCTAGGTGCTGGGTCCAACTAAGTGCTGTGCGGTGAAGCAGCGTTTAATCCTTGAATCCTAAACGCGACTGTTTGCCGGAGGTGCTAACTTTGTGCCCTGGATTTGGTTTCTAGGGTATTACAAGGTATACAGTGGGTACGTTATGGATTTCCCTACTACCCCCACCTAGACTAACCCCCCCTATAGGTTCCATCCCGATGAAGGTTATTCAAGAATGTGTAAGACTAACCAATGTTAACAAAGCAGGAAGCTGGGGAAGCGTGGTATAGGAGGTCTTGCTAACCGTAAGCCTTAAACCCTAAACCCTAACCTTAAACCCTGGCTTTAGGGTTGAGGATTCAGGGGCTAAAGGGGGAGTATAAGGCCCCCAGCAAGAAGGGCCCATCCCTGCCAACCCTTTGGTTTGGAAGGTCGCGATCTGATTTAGGGTTTAGGGTTTGACGAGTGATGGGAGTTTAGGCTGCTCGAGGGTTTTGCCCAGAATGAAGCCTGCAATATCATCACTTGCCGCGAATTTTCGGGCAACAGCTGGGCTTTCGGGTTTACGGAGTCAGATCTGGGTTTTGGTGGTTTAGGGTCTAGGGCCTGAAGGTACAAGCTCATCTCATTGACCCTCAAGAACTTCAATCATAAGGGTGCAGCGCACACAAGTAACTTCCATTCCGTCCGCTCTACCAGGAAGACCCCTCCTACAACCCCAAACCCTAAACTCTAGACGCCCAAACCTTGAACCACAAAACCGGAACCCCAACACCCAAAACCCTGAAGTTCAGGCAAAAAGCGTGGCTTGAAATCGGCCCCCGTACATGAAACACTTCGCCGAAAGTCAAGAATGAGCTACACGGTAAAGGGTTTAGGCTTAGGGTTTATGGGTTGGGGTTTAGCGTTGCCCTGAACCCTGAATCCTGAACCGAGACACCGTAGAAACCTGAAGGATTCAGATTCAGGGTTCAGAGCTTAGACTCCAAGGGTTTGAGGTTAAGGGTCTAGGCTCAAGGATTTTAGGGTTGAGACCCCAAGTCGCCAAGCCCCAAACCTAGGGTTTAGGGCTGAGCCCTAAACCCTAAAACCCCTGCAGGGTGCAGAAATGGCCAGGCACCTTCGACTCCGAAAGTGAGAGGGACGTAGATGCAGGGTTTGGGATTTAGGGCGGAGGTTGCCAGATTTCGTTACTATGCTAGGAATAAAGCGAAGAGTATGACGGCTTCCTCGCAAGTGTAACCTAAGTAAATTTCCATAAAGCCTTACCCGAAGCTTAAAAAAAACTATAGAGCCCATGTCATTGTCCAGTTTCTTTACCGTTTGAGTTCCCATTATGAACCGTAAACTCACGCCTTAAGCCCGAAATCCAAAACCCTAA